TACCAAAAATGCTTTAAATTGCATTTTAAAACATATCTTGGTATTATAAATGATAAAGAATGCTAATATAGACATAAAATCGATATTTTTTTGAAAATAGCCTACTATGATCGAAACCAAAAATGCTTTAAATTGCATTTTAAAACATATCTTTGTATTATAAATGATAAAGAATGCTAATATAGACATAAAATCGTTTTTTTTTGAAAATAGCCTACTATGATCTAAACCAAAAATGCTTTAAATTGCATTTTAAAACATATCTTTGTATTATAAATGATAAAGAATGCTAAAATAGACATAAAATCGATTTTTTTTTGAAAATAGCCTACTATGATCGAAACCAAAAATGCTTTAAATTGCATTTTAAAACATATCTTGGCATTATAAATAATAAATAATGCTAATATAGACATAAATCGATATTTTTTTGAAAAAAGCCTACTATGATCAAAACCAAAAATGCTTTAAATTGCATTTTAAAAGATATCTTGGTATTATAAATGATAAAGAATGCTAAAATAGACATAAAATCGATATTTTTTTGAAAAAAGCCTACTATGATCAAAACCAAAAATGCTTTAAATTGCATTTTAAAACATATCCAGGCATTATAAATAATAAATAATGCTAAAATAGATATAAAATCGATAGTTTTTTGAAAATAGCCTACCATGATCAAAACCAAAAATGCTTTAAATTGCATTTTAAAAACATATCTTGGTATTATAATTGACGAAGAATGCTAATATAGACATAAAATCAATATTTTTTTGAAAATAACCTACTATGATCAAAACCAAAAATGCTTTAAATTGCATTTTAAAACATATCTTGGTATTATAAATGATAAAGAATGCTAATATAGACATAAAATCGATATTTTTTTGAAAATAGCCTACTATGATCGAAACCAAAAATGCTTTAAATTGCATTTTAAAACATATCTTGGTATTATAAATGATAAAAATTGCTAATAAAGACATAAAATCGTTTTTTTTTGAAAATAGCCTACTATGATCTAAACCAAAAATGCTTTAAATTGCATTTTAAAACATATCTTTGTATTATAAATGATAAAGAATGCTAATATAGACATAAAATCGATATTTTTTTGAAAATAGCCTACTATGATCGAAACCAAAAATGCTTTAAATTGCATTTTAAAACATATCTTGGTATTATAAATGATAAAAATTGCTAATAAAGACATAAAATCGTTTTTTTTTGAAAATAGCCTACTATGATCTAAACCAAAAATGCTTTAAATTGCATTTTAAAACATATCTTTGTATTATAAATGATAAAGAATGCTAATATAGACATAAAATCGATATTTTTTTGAAAAAAGCCTACTATGATCAAAACCAAAAATGCTTTAAATTGCATTTTAAAACATATCCAGGCATTATAAATAATAAATAATGCTAAAATAGATATAAAATCGATAGTTTTTTGAAAATAGCCTACCATGATCAAAACCAAAAATGCTTTAAATTGCATTTTAAAAACATATCTTGGTATTATAATTGACGAAGAATGCTAATATAGACATAAAATCAATATTTTTTTGAAAATAACCTACTATGATCAAAACCAAAAATGCTTTAAATTGCATTTTAAAATATATCTTGGTATTATAATTGATAAAGAATGCTAATATAGATATAAAATCGATATTTTTTTGCAAATAGCCTACTATGATCTAAACCAAAAATGCTTTAAATTGCATTTTAAAACATATCTTGGTATTATAAATGATAAAAATTGCTAATAAAGACATAAAATCGTTTTTTTTTGAAAATAGCCTACTATGATCGGAACCAAAAATGCTTTAAATTGCATTTTAAAACATATCTTTGTATTATAAATGATAAAGAATGCTAATATAGACATAAAATCGTTTTTTTTTGAAAATAGCCTACTATGATCTAAACCAAAAATGCTTTAAATTGCATTTTAAAACATATCTTTGTATTATAAATGATAAAGAATGCTAAAATAGACATAAAATCGATATTTTTTTGAAAAAAGCCTACTATGATCAAAACCAAAAATGCTTTAAATTGCATTTTAAAACATATCCAGGCATTATAAATAATAAATAATGCTAAAATAGATATAAAATCGATAGTTTTTTGAAAATAGCCTACCATGATCAAAACCAAAAATGCTTTAAATTGCATTTTAAAAACATATCTTGGTATTATAATTGACGAAGAATGCTAATATAGACATAAAATCAATATTTTTTTGAAAATAACCTACTATGATCAAAACCAAAAATGCTTTAAATTGCATTTTAAAATATATCTTGGTATTATAATTGATAAAGAATGCTAATATAGATATAAAATCGATATTTTTTTGCAAATAGCCTACTATGATCTAAACCAAAAATGCTTTAAATTGCATTTTAAAACATATCTTGGTATTATAAATGATAAAAATTGCTAATAAAGACATAAAATCGTTTTTTTTTGAAAATAGCCTACTATGATCTAAACCAAAAATGCTTTAAATTGCATTTTAAAACATATCTTTGTATTATAAATGATAAAGAATGCTAATATAGACATAAAATCGTTTTTTTTTGAAAATAGCCTACTATGATCTAAACCAAAAATGCTTTAAATTGCATTTTAAAACATATCTTTGTATTATAAATGATAAAGAATGCTAAAATAGACATAAAATCGATATTTTTTTGAAAAAAGCCTACTATGATCAAAACCAAAAATGCTTTAAATTGCATTTTAAAACATATCTTTGTATTATAAATGATAAAGAATGCTAATATAGACATAAAATCGTTTTTTTTTTGAAAATAGCCTACTATGATCTAAACCAAAAATGCTTTAAATTGCATTTTAAAACATATCTTTGTATTATAAATGATAAAGAATGCTAAAATAGACATAAAATCGATATTTTTTTGAAAAAAGCCTACTATGATCAAAACCAAAAATGCTTTAAATTGCATTTTAAAAGATATCTTAGTATTATAAATGATAAAGAATGCTAAAATAGACATAAAATCGATATTTTTTTGAAAAAAGCCTACTATGATCAAAACCAAAAATGCTTAAAATTGCATTTTAAAACATATCCAGGCATTATAAATAATAAATAATGCTAAAATAGATATAAAATCGATAGTTTTTTGAAAATAGCCTACCATGATCAAAACCAAAAATGCTTTAAATTGCATTTTAAAAACATATCTTGGTATTATAATTGACGAAGAATGCTAATATAGACATAAAATCAATATTTTTTTGAAAATAACCTACTATGATCAAAACCAAAAATGCTTTAAATTGCATTTTAAAATATATCTTGGTATTATAATTGATAAAGAATGCTAATATAGATATAAAATCGATATTTTTTTGCAAAAAGCCTACTATGATCGAAACCAAAAATGCTTTAAATTGCATTTTAAAACATATCCAGGCATTATAAATAATAAATAATGCTAAAATAGATATAAAATCGATAGTTTTTTGAAAATAGCCTACCATGATCAAAACCAAAAATGCTGTAAATTGCATTTTAAAACATATCTAGGCATTATAAATAATAAAGAATGCTAAAATAGACATAAAATCGATTTTTTTTTGAAAATAGCCTACCATGATCAAAACAAAAAATGCTGTAAATTGCATTTTGAAACATATCCAGGCATTATAAATAATAAAGAATGCTAAAATAGACATAAAATCGATATTTTTTTGCAAAAAGCCTACTATGATCGAAACCAAAAATGCTTTAAATTGCATTTTAAAACATATCCAGGCATTATAAATGATAAAGAATGCCAATATAGACATAAAATCGATATTTTTTTGAAAATAGCCTACCATGATCGAAACCAAAAATGCTTTAAATTGCATTTTAAAACATATCTTGGTATAATAATTGATAAAGGATGCTATTATAGACGATGTATGAAAAAATCTAATAGAAAATTTTTGTTTTGCAACCCCAAGGATTATTTTAGATTTCTAAAAGAAAAAATTTTTGATTTTTTAAAAGAAAATTTTGTAATCAAAAAAGTATTTTTAATTCTTTATTAAATGCAAAACTCAACATTAATTTTTTAAATTTAAAAATAAAATTAATTCTAAAGTGGAAATTTTTGAATTTTTTTCCTGAGTGTAAAACTTTTGATGGTGTGGTGTGAATATATCCGCATTGGGTTTCTACCCGATACACAAGTTTAAATAGCAATCATTCAACCAATACCTATTTATATTTCCTTTTTATTTAATTTTTTGAATAATGAAATTACACAAAACAATAAGTGGGATTTTTTTGGATGAAAATCATATTTGATCCACTTATTAATACAAGTGGAATTATTATCCGCTATGACAAAAAAGTTTTTAGATTTAATTTAATATATTTCTATTGTATATTTCTAAGTAGGAATATTAAAAATTTTATTTATTTAATTTTTTTAATTAACTTTACATAACCAAACTTAACATGAAAAATCTATTAATTAAAAGCATTAAAAAATTATTTACAGCATAAACTATAAAAATACACAGCTGTATTTTATGCCTTTGTGTAAGATCCATAAAAGAAAAAAGGAAAAGTATGAAGGAATAAGTAAAATTTTGGCGAGTCGTAATCGCATTATGAGAACAACAATAATAATTAAAAGACATGAACAATTATAATGAGAGGCTCATAACCTTCCACAATGAGGATTTTCTAATCATTACAACAGGTACAACAGTAAAATGTTATTGCCAAAAAAAAAATTAGACTATGAAAGACGATCCTGAAAATCTTATTTAGACTTGAACTTGCACCTTTAAATTCTTATGACGGTAGTACTTATGCTCAAATTCAATTATCAAATATGACAGAAATTGACTATAAAAAGAAAAAGTATCGAATGAGGAATTGTCAAGTCTTCTGCTATATTTCAAATAGTTCAGTGGTCTGTGAAGTAGTTCGGTGATAAAAACGATTTTCTTCAAGACAAGTTACAAGAAGGGCTTGTGTATCTTAATCACATATTCAAAAATTACATAAAAAATAATAAAATTAACATGGCATTCAATGGATATAACAATTACGGACCTCAAACATGGCAGGTTGGAAGTCCAAGATCTGGAAATATGACTGTTGTCGATATGGTCACAGATGATATGCGTCACTTAGTTGACAAACATTGGTATCAATTTCCACCAATGAACCCACTTTGGCACTCATTTTTAGGATTCGGTAAGTATTTATTTCTTTTTACAAAATATTGGGATAATCAGGAACATGCCAAAAGACGATGTCAACGTTGATTCGAAATAAATTCAAACTTGTTTCGAATGTTTTTCGAACAAAATTTCGCCATTTCGAAAAACATGTTTTAATGAAAATTTCAATTTTTCGCAATTTTTGACTTAATTTACCTAATTATTATTTAGGAAATAAATCATTCTTTTATGTCTTTTAACACTCATTTAATCGTTTAATCGGTGATAAACGCAGCAAACATTATCAGTTTAAAATGCTTTTTTTCAAGAAATATTCTATTTTTTTTGTTGTTGTTTACATTGAAAATAAAAATGTCATTAATTCGAGTGCCTATTAAAACAACGAATTTAAAAAATTTGAAACTTTATTTCTACGAAGCTTTATTTTTCCGAAAAATTCTTCAAGCAATCTCATATGATTTTCAAATTTTAAAAAAATTTGATTTTATTAAGCATTTTATTTCCATTAAAAACAGTTAAAAATATATTTTACTGTTAATTTATCTTCTTATTTTAAAGAACAAAGCTAATTTAATTGTTTTTTATGTGAATAACCAGTTTTATTGTAGAAAACATTGGAAACTTGATGCATAGTAGATTCAACGGGTTTTTAGAATTTAAAAAATCATATGAGATTGAATAAAGAATTTTTTGGAAAAATGAAGTTTTGAACCTCTGAAATTCGTTGTTTTAATTGGCACTCCATTAATTCACTTGCATTAATTGCTTAGTAAATCAGTAATGATTCATTACATTTGAGTGGATTCATTTAGCATTTTGATGATGAAAAACAAATATTGAAACTATATTAGACAGTAATAATTTAACGTGTAAAAAAATTTTGAACTTATGCTCGAAAATAAGGTACCAAAAAAAATTCAATATCGAAAATAAGGACTCGTTGGAGTTTATCAAGATCTGAGTTTAAAGATCTTGTTCTTTGCAGTTCTTTGTTAATTAGAGTCAACCACCTCGATTACAGTTAACAAACGAATGTATGATCACTCTTTTTCAGCCCTTGCAATCTTCTGCATCATCGCATTACTTGGAAATCTCTGCGTCATTTACATTTTCGCCAAAACAAAATCTTTAAGGACACCATCCAATCTATTCGTTATTAATCTTGCTGTTGCAGATTTTATGATAATGTTCACGATGGTAATTACAAGACTTTTATGACTAAAATTTCATAGACTATTTAATTTAGAGCATAATTTAATTATATCTCAATTAGGGACCACCAATGGTTATTAACTGCTACTATGAGGTAAAAATTAAGTTGTTAATTTAATAAGCAAAAAAAATTTACTTTTTCATTTATTAATTTTTCAGACATGGGTGTTTGGTCCTTTGGCGTGTCAGCTTGTAAGTTTTTAAATTGAATAATTTTTTATGCAACCCCGTTTACCGAGTATTAACCATCCTTAGATGATTTTCTAATATCAATTTTGCATGCAATTCTAATTTAATGTCCTTTACAAGAAAAAAATACCCCGAGAACCTAATTTGAAACAGTCCCATTTTCGAAGTCAATTAACACTTTTTTTCAATTTTGCCCCATAGTGCATACCCATCCTTAAACCTTCCAAAATGAGATTCAATAAACTGATACCTTTATTAAATCCTTTCAGTATGGAATGGCTGGATCACTTTTTGGATGTACCTCAATTTGGACAATGACAATGATTGCCTTTGATCGTTATAATGTAATTGTTAAGGGTATCTCAGGAAAACCATTGTCACATGGCGGAGCAATCATTCGAATTCTTTTCGTTTGGGCTGCATCATTAATTTGGACAATTATTCCATTGTTAGGATGGAATAGATATACACCCGAGGGAAATATGACTGCATGCGGTACTGACTATTTGTCCAAGGATATATTCAGTCGAGGATATGTTGTCATTTATGCTTGTTGGTGTTATTTCTTACCACTTTTCCTAATCATATACTCTTACTACTTCATCCTTAAGGCTGTTTCTGCACATGAAAAGAATATGCGTGAACAGGCAAAGAAGATGAATGTTGCATCATTGAGATCATCAGAAAATCAAAGTCAAAGCACTGAATGTAAATTAGCCAAGATTGCTCTTATGACAATCTCACTTTGGTTTATGGCTTGGACCCCTTATTTAATCATCAACTTCGCTGGTATCTTCGAATTTGCTGTTTTAAGTCCAATCTCAACAATTTGGGGCAGTGTTTTTGCCAAGGCTAACGCCATCTATAATCCAATTGTTTATGGTATCAGCCATCCAAAATATCGTATTGCTTTACTCAAGACTTTCCCATCATTGGCTTGTGGAGATAAACCAGAAGCAGAGACTGAATCACAGGCATCAGGAGTAACCGCAGTCCAACTTGATGAAAAACCATCTGCTTAAATTTCCTTGTTTGGCTTCGATAATAACTAATCGACTTTATGCTCATCAATGAAAATCTAAAATTGTGTAGCTTTTTAACTCAATGGAAAAGTTAATTAAATTTTCAATGGGATGTACTTAGTTGAATGTTCTACTTATTGTGATTTAAAAACATGTTAATCAATTTGGATCGTATAAAAGTTGTCATGTTTTAGTTTTTAAGCGCAAGCAGAATTTGTATTCCAAAAAATTATTTTCCTTTTTCTGATCAATTCGACAGACGAAAACAGGAAAACTTTTTTTTTTTGAAATAAAAAAACAAATTCATAAAATTCTAAAAATCTCGCTTTTTTTGAGCCCCGACGAGACAGAATCTGAAGAACTTAATTTATTATTATTATTATTACACGCTTTTTATTGTGACGCTCTGCATTCATAAAAAAAATTAACATTTTTCATTGTTATTTCGTTGTAATCTGGTTTAACATTGTAATGACATTGTTAAATTTATATTTAAAATTGTATTTAAAATAAATTAACGATGAGATTGTAATATAACAATGGTGATTGTTAATTTTACAATGGTCATCGTTAATATTAAATTTTAAATAACTTAACTATAATTAAGTTATGAATACTCTAAATTAAATAAAAATTCATTATGAAAAGTGAGTCGTGTTTCTGAGTACTTAAGAATTATAAAAATTTAAAAAAGCTTTTTTTTTTAAATAATTTGTTTTTGAATTATTTTTGTTAAATAAATAATTTTTCAATACTTTCTATTAATGTTTGACAAAAAGTATAATTAAAATCTTATTCATTTTCACTATTTATAAAATTAACCTTTTCACTTATATAATTATTTTGTCACTTTAAAATCAGATCAAAAATTAAGAAATATGATAACGATTAAACTCACGATATTGAAAGTTAAGCAGCAAGATTTTATTTCCTTTTTGGATGGGTGACCATTTTTATCCTCGAAAATTTTTTAACAATATGATTGTAAATTTTTACAATATTGTTGTTGACAATCATTTTACAATGATCATTGTTAAATTTAACAATTTCATGGTCAACGCTATTTTAATCATGACTTTGTTAAAATTTTCATACAAAGTAACAATGCATTGTTAATTTTTTTTATGAGTGTAATTATAGAGCACCTCCTCTCTGACGGTCAGCTCTGTAACATGAATAGTTTGGAATATTGAAATTATCTTTCTGTTTAAGCCAAGTCTCAGATATGAAAGCAATATCAATTTTATTGGATATAAAAAAAAAATGAAATTTCTGTAATTTGCATCGTTCGCTATGAGAATTCAGAATCATGAACTTAAGGGCCATGATTTGGGATTTCATAATTGAAAAAGAATCTTATCAATATGAACACGTGCTGACCATGTCATTGGTCTCATTTAATTCTACTATCAATCTTTTAAGAAGTATCAAGGTTTCCTCAATACCTGGAGTTGCCACAAACTGACTACGACAATTGAAAATCTCAGAAAAACAAGACTCGTCTGATTTATGTGGAGCACTTACTTGAACTTTCCTTTTTACTTGGCTTGAAAAGGAAGGAATGTCGCATGAAACATTGTTTTGTGAATGGCTCGATGTTGACACTGTTGTCAATGGAGGAAAATTATTTTGATCCAGTCTTGTTTGGACCATTTGATGAATCTTCTTCTCATTCCTGGGTAATATTGATGTTTTCGCAGCTTGTTTTTCTTGGTTCTTCTTAAACAATTTGGAGACCTACACCCTATGTGATTTGCAGCGTGATCACCTTGACAGTTAACACATTTTGGTAAGCCCTCACTGGATTTTCTTTGACACGCTCCAACTTCATGATTTTCGCAACATTTTACGCATCTGTAACGGAATCCAGAATTTTTAGAAGTGTGGCCCCATCTTTGACAATTGTGGCATTGTACAGGGATCTTGATTTTACTTTTCATGGGTTCCCACTTCACTTTGATGTATGAAATTGTTGAATAGATGTGATTCAAAACATTGAGGTTAATGTTTTTTGTCACTTTAAATGAAACTGAATACAACGAATGAAATTCGCTTTCAAATATCTTTGACACCTTCACCACTAGAATCCCACTTTCTTTTAGTGTTGATAAAACGTTATCTTCGCTATCATTATAGAAACCTTTAAGCACATATGTTGAAGCTTTCTCCGAAGGCTCGCTGAATGATAATTGATCATTTTGTCTTTTAAGGCTTGGCCTCGTTCACTTATTACGTAACGCAAAAAAACGAGTTTTCAGAACCCCCCTCCCCCCCTCCTGTAACAAAGCGTAACAAAATCTTAGACCCCCCCCCTCCCCCCTCCCCCCATAACGTAACAATAATTTTTTTCATTTAAATTGTTTATCAAATGTTTATTATACTTCCTTTAAGTTTGTAAAAGTAAATAGAAGGAAAGCAATAAAAGTTAAATTTTATCGATGAAAAATAAACAGTTTTACTTATAACTAAAAAGTTCTTAAGTTAAAATTTAACGTTAAAAAAATTTAAAATTAATAAAGAAAAAATTATAAAAAAATATAATTTTTGAAAAGTTACGTAACAAAATTTAGACCCCCCCCCCTCCCCCTGTAACAAACCGTAACAAAATCTTAGACCCCCCCCCTCCCCCCCTAGTGCGTTACGTAATAAGTGAACGAACCCCTTGCATAATAGCCTTTTTATCATCGATTGATGTACATTGAATTTGTGTAGATTTATTATGAATCACTTTGAATATTGGTTTGTTGAATATTGGCTTTCGTCTCCATTGTTGTTGAATATGTCACGGAAACTATCAATTAAACTACTGTTTCCATTAATTATACAATGATTCAGATTCGGAAAAAATGTTCAAAAATTCAAAAATAACATATTAATTAAACTTCATCTTTTAAGTGCCAGATTAAAGATCTTACCTTTATGCATATCCTTTAAAAATATCTCGTTCCCTTTTTAACATTTTCAACTGCAAATATGCCAGAACTTCACAGAAATTGGACAAGCTGACAAAGCAATTTGTGCGAATCAATTAAACATGACAAAAAATTTGTTTAACATGATTTCAAAGAATCAGTGAATTTATGAAGCAACCTAGTGCAAAAGTAGCTACTTTTTAACATTTTCGACTGCCAGGCCTTCACAGAAATTGCTCAAACTGACAAAGCAATTTGTGCAAATGATCTTAAATCAATAAAACATGACAAAAAATTTATATAACATGATTTCAAAGATACAGTGAATTTATGAAGCAACCTAGTGCAAAAGTAGCTCCAATTTAACATTTTCGACTGCAAATCTGCCAGAACTTCACAGAAATTGCTCAAACTGACAAAGCAATTTGTGTGAATCAATAAAGCATGATAAAAAAATTTATATAACATTATTTCAAAGTTACAGTGAATTTATAAAGCAACCTAATGCAAAAGTAGCTCCAATTTAACATTTTTGACTGCAAATCTGCCAGGACTTCACAGAAATTGCTCAAACTGACAAAGCAATTCGTGCAAATGGTCTTAAATCAATAAAACATGACAAATAATTTATATAACATGATTTCAAAGATACAGTGAATTAATGAAGCAACCTAGTGCAAAAGTAGCTACTATTTAAAATTTTTGACTACAAATCTGCCAGGACTTCACAGAAATTGCTCAAACTGACAAAGCAATTTCTGCAAATGATCTTAAATCAATAAAACATGACAAAAAATTTATATAACATGATTTCAAAGATACAGTGAATTTATGAAGCAACCTAGTGCAAAAGTAGCTACTTTTTAACATTTTCGACTGCAAATCTGCCAGGACTTCACAGAAATTGCTCAAACTGACAAAGCAATTTGTGCAAATGATCTTAAATCAATAAAACATGACAAAAAATTTATATAACATGATTTCAAAGATACAGTGAATTTATGAAGCAACCTATTTTAAAAGTAGCTACTATTTAACATTTTCGACTGCAAATCTGCCAGAACTTCACAGAAATTGCTCAAACTGACAAAGCAATTCATGCAAATGATCCTAAATCAATAAAACATGACAAAAATTTTGTTTAACATAATTTCAAAGATACAGTGAATTTATGAAGCAACCTAGTGCAAAAGTAGCTACTTTTTAACATTTTCGACTGCCAGGCCTTCACAGAAATTGCTCAAACTGACAAAGCAATTTGTGCAAATGATCTTAAATCAATAAAACATGACAAAAAATTTATATAACATGATTTCAAAGATACAGTGAATTTATGAAGCAATTTAGTGCAAAAGGAGCTACTTTTTAACATTTTCGACTGCAAATCTTCCAGGACTTCACAGAAATTGCTCAAACTGACAAAGCAATTTGTGCAAATGATCTTAAATCAATAAAACATGACAAAAAATTTATATAACATTATTTCAAAGAAACAGTGAATTTATGAAGCAACCTATTTTAAAAGTAGCTACTATTTAACATTTTCGACTGCAAATCTGCCAGGACTTCACAGAAATTGCTCAAACTGACAAAGTAATTTGTGCAAATGATCTTAAATCAATAAAACATGACAAAAAATTTATATAACATGATTTCAAAGATACAGTGAATTTATGAAGCAATTTAGTGCAAAAGTAGCTACTTTTTAACATTTTCGACTGCAAATCTGCCAGGACTTCACAGAAATTGCTCAAACTGACAAAGTAATTTGTGCAAATGATCTTAAATCAATAAAACATGACAAAAAATTTATATAACATTATTTCAAAGAAACAGTGAATTTATGAAGCAACCTATTTTAAAAGTAGCTACTATTTAACATTTTCGACTGCAAATCTGCCAGAACTTCACAGAAATTGCTCAAACTGACAAAGCAATTTGTGCAAATGATCTTAAATCAATAAAAAATGACAAAAAATTTATATAACATGATTTCAAAGATACAGTGAATTTATGAAGCAACCTATTTTAAAAGTAGCTACTATTTAACATTTTCGACTGCAAATCTGCCAGGACTTCACAGAAATTGCTCAAACTGACAAAGCAATTCGTGCAAATGATCTTAAATCAATAAAACATGACAAAAATTTTGTTTAACATGATTTCAAAGATACAGTGAATTTATGAAGCAACCTAGTGCAAAAGTAGCTACTAT